CAGACAGACGGAGAGAGACATAGAGACAGAAAGCGAGAAATCACCCCCCAGGGGGGATGACCATACCGCAATCCCTTCTCCTCCATTCTCCTCTCAGGATCTTGGCACACACGCACACGTGCCCGGCGTGAGTTTTAAGCCACTGGGTCCGGGACGCGAACCACAGTCGTGGGAGTCCAGCGACATAGCCATTATGCTAACTGCTGGTTCCCAGGATTTCATGATTTCTAAAGGCAGAATAGTGCTCCATTGTTATACCTATCACATCCCCCCATTCTTCCATTGGTAGACCCCTAGACTGATTCCATATCTTGGCCATTGTGAATAATATTGCCATGAACTTGGAATGCAGATAGCACTTCAACTCTCTGATTACATTTCCTTTGGGTGTATACCCAGAATTGGGATTGCTGGATCATATGGTAGTTCTATTTATACATTTTCTAGTATTATCTTCATATTTTTCTTCATTCCTCCATCCGCTCGACAAATATCATATACCAACTATGTACCACTGTAGAACAATGGTAGAGAAGAGAACACAAACACCCTTACCATCATGGAACTTAATTCTAAGATCCTGTTCTTTGAGCTTCTTAGCCATCAGTTCTTTGCTCTTTTGCCTCACTTTCTCACCATTAGGTTTTGACAACAGTAGCAGATAGCTCTCTGTGTGCCCTGGAGCCAGTTGGGTTTTAGTTTTAGTATAATTTGTTTTAGGTTATATTGATTGTATACATGTCTCATTCTCAAAATATAGCCCAAACATGTATCAATTACTTTTAAAAATATGATTTAATTTTTCTTAGAGCCTTTGCAGAGAAAAATTTTGCTTTAAAAGACAATGTAATAAGAGCATTTGGGGGGGGATGAAGAAAATTGGAATTATTTTAATTTATGTATATGCCTGGATGTGATCATTGGACGATCATCAGTTAAATGGATTAAAGAGTCTGCTAATGTTTTGCAGAGGCTAGCTTTGTTTGTGGTAAATTGTCTTTTACTTTTTCCATGTTTAAAAGGAGAATCTATTCATTGTGCCATTTGGCCCACTGGTATTTGTCTTTGCCGTTATAATAAAGGCTAACGATAATATCTGGAGTCACCTGGACTCAACGTGTTCAAATATAAGTGATGGGTATAATGCCAAGTTCACAGCTAAGTGATCAACAGAGCAGGTGGTTCAATTTTCCTACCATAGTTGGTAGCACCCTACCCTGTGCTGGGTGGAGCCCAAATAGAGCATTCCTTTAGGTAACAGTGAAGTACTGAGGTGAGTGCATTGGTCAAGTTTGAATGGAATTTCTCTGCCACACAAAAACTATTTTTAGAATTATTAATAGTATGTTTATCCCTGAGACCACAAGATTAAGAGAAGATAGAAAAATCTAGAACCAGTAGGTGGTGTGGTGGTTAAAGCTCTGGATTTCCAAATGGCCAACTGAGGTTTGAGTCCTGGACCTACAGGCTTGCTTTCTCTCTTTCCATTTTTTTCTCTCTCTGTCTCTCTGGTCAAATTAAAATTTAATAATAAATGGAATTAAATAAATAATTCTCAAAAAAAAAAAAAAACCCAAAACAAAACAAAACAATAAAGGGCCGGTAGGTGGTGTGGCTGTTAAAGGAGCGGGATTCTCACGTGGCCCACTGCCATTTGAGTGCAGGACCTGGTGGCTTGCTTTCTCGCTTTCTCTTTATCTCTCTCTCTGTCTGGTAAAATTAAGAAATAATAATAACAAATGAAATTAATTAAATAAAAAGTTCTTTTAAAAAAAGAGAAAATGGAGAAATCTTCACAAATCGACTATGTTCAGAAAATAAGGGTGCACATAAGTCTTTTCTTGTTTCCGAGGGCAGTTTTCTAAGCAATGACTCACATGATTTCACTCTAAATGGGCAGTTAGTTGATCTTTTCATATATATGCATCCCAGGCTAAATAGCTATGTAGAAATGTAGTTTGAAGCAAAGAGTAGTTGAGAAATCGTGAGTTGCAGTTCTGAATGCACTTAAACTGCAGCCAAAAATCAATTGGGTCTCTTTCTATGAATCCAAAATAAGCTTTGGAGTATGTCTCTATATTCTAAACAGAAATTCCAAAGAATTTCTTGGAATTCAAGGAAAAGGGGTTCCTTTATTAGTTAGAGAACTGAATAAAATGGAAATAGCTAAAAATCAAAATTAAAAATGGGAGGCAGCAAGTGATATAGTAGTTATGGTGGTAGACTCCCACATAGCTGAGTATGGTTCAAGTCCTGGACCCAGCACCTTGAAATTCACCCCAGGCACGTGTGCATGTGTGCCCAAAATCCCAAGGGGAGAATAAAGGAGAAGGAATCGCAGCATTGCCATCCCCCCTGGGGAGTGATTTCTTGCTTTCTGTCTCTCTAGCGAGTGCATGTGTCCTATAGCAAAAATCTCTTTCTCTAATAATAATATTAATAATAATTAAAAATAATAAAACAATGCTCTTTGTAGAATGCTTGCCATAGTCAAACATACACAAAGTACCTCCATTAATGTATATTTATGAGATTGGCACATTTAACACCTCTTGAACAGCTGAGGAAACAGGCATGGAGAAAACAAAAACTTTTCAAGCTTCCTTAGTTTGTCTTTAGACTGCAGAACCATAGCCCCAGACCTTTAGCTTTTTTTTTTACAATGCCTCTTAGGCTTTGGCAAGAGAAAAGGAAATTCTGTATTATTCTTTTTTATTTCATGCTATTTATTCAAAGGTCAAATTCACATTTTTTCCAGATGGACATTATTTTGTGGTTCTTTCTGGAGGATGGTTCATGAGTCTTTTCAAAGACCTCTTTGACTGAAGGCACTCATATTCAACTTCAAATGTTGCCCCATCTGAGTACCTTAAAATTATCTGGTGCTTACTCGCAACCTTTTTAGCAAATGCCTTTCTGGCTTGGGGTGGCTTTGGTATTTCATATTTAGTAAAAGTGTCTGCTACCTGCCCTTAGAAAATATCTTGGTTTTATGTCTCCCAGACTGCTTGTTGCTAAAGGCAAAATGTGGAATGGAGAATGGTGGAATTTCACTGTGCTATATAGAAATTAGGTGCAACTACTACATTAAAAGCAATGGCAGGGGCTGTAAATCTGAACTTTGGGGGGAGAAAAAAATTAAAAAGTAAAACATGTGACAGGATAGGCTACAAATTCCCAAGGTGTAGACAGTTTTTCTAAAGAAACAATTAAGCCTTTCTGCAAAAAAATTATATTTTATTTTGAATTGTGCTTAACATGTGAGGGTATAATGCAGATTTCTAAAGAATCATTCAATCAATTTTTTTTGAGAGGTTTTTGCTATAGGGCACGTATGCTTGCCAGAAAGACAAAGAGAGACAGAAAGAGAGAAATCACCCCCCAGGGAGGATGGCCACGCCGCAATCCCTTCTCCTCCATTCTTCTCTCGGGATCCTGGGCATGCATGCACACACACCCGGCATGAGTTTTAAGCTGCTGGGTCTGGGACTCAAACCACGATCGGCTACATTGGAGTTCAGCGACACAGCCATTACGCTAACTGCTGATCCTTGGAATCATTCAGTTGATTTCTACAAAGCCATTTTATTTGTTTCAGGGCACTTCTCTTTCCCAATATTTTAAAAAGTACTTTCTTATTAAATTCATAGCCCAAAATATCATAATACAAAAATAACTACTGTTAACATGTAGGTATATATCCTTTTAATATTTATTTTACACACATACACACACACACAGAATTTACAGTGTAATTTATTCTTTTTGTATACCAATACATCACAGCATTTTTCTATCTTGTTAAATAGTCTTCAATAGCACTGTTTCTAACGGTTGTTCAGTATTCTTGTGTGATTATATCATATCTTAACCAAACCATGACCCTGGAAATTGAAGTTGTTTCCAGCTTTACACCATTATAAGCAATGCTGGAAACAACACTTTTGTAGCTAAATCGTGGTACACATTCATGATTATTGTTCTTAGGATAAATTCCTATAACG